GTTCTTGGGTGGGAGGTTATATGTCTATACTTAGTATCTTTCTTTGTGTACTGTAGGTGCTCTGGAGTACAAATTGATATGAGGGTGGATAAGTACTAAGTAGTATGGTTATTTCTCTAGTGTAAAGAATACATTCTATGTTCTTGATGGTCCCGAGGTGATCCGGTCTATCCTGTCCGCACCGAGCTTGAAGACAATACAATAGTACACACTAGGCAGAAAACAATAGGAAAACCCCATTTGCCTGGAACCTACTCCGTTGTTCCGGGGAAACCTTTTGCAAGGGGACAGACATGAAACACTTGGCGGTGTTGCTATATTGAGAAACAAGATAGGGTAAAAGAAGGGTGGTGAAAAGAAAATTCTGACCCGGCGGAACCGCTCCAGCCACAGCCGGCTGCTCCACACACAAAACCACACAGCCAAAGATGAACCGCCTCAAGGCTGCGACTGGGAAGCCTCCACCATAGCAGTCCAGCTATTCGGGCCAAAGCGCTCGTAGAACTCACCGAAAAACTCGGTCACAAAAAGGTACGCCGCGCGGTGACGTAGTTCGTGCACCAATGGGCGCAGGTCGTCCACTGGTACCGAGTGTATCATAAATCCACATCGCGCGCGATCGTAATGGAGTAGACGAAGGCGATGCTGGACTTCATTCGACCGATAGCGAGAATAAGGTTCCTCACAAGTCAGGATCAGATCGGGCCCTATATTAGCCAGGGGCGCATCGGGTGGTGTTCCTGGGTTCTGGATGACCTGCAAATCCTCAAGATGATCAATATCGGGTTCGCCAACTTCGCCTTTCTCGGACATGTGCGATACGGCGCTGATTGGGTGTGGCCGGGTGTTTTCTTTGCTTTTACTGATCGGCAGGGGTGGGGCAAGGGGATCTCACCAATCGATGACCTAAAAGCCCCGGCGTGCGTTTGATACGGTCCTGGAGGACGGCCAGGTACTCGACCGCTTCAGGCGAGGAGAGGTTCGGGGTCTCGTCGAGAAAGATCCCTCCCACGCCTAGACCAGTTCTCACGTAATCCTCAGCCCAGGTGGCATACGTCTGAACCTCTTCCAAGGCTTCGGAGAGGGGCTTCTTGCAGTAGTTTATGGCGATGTAACCTACGGTGACCACGTTCGCATAACCATTCAGTCGGGCGATTTCACGCACGTAGTTGGCATCAGGCAATGGGGGGGCTCCCGGTCCACTGTTGGGATTGACAATCACCAGAAAATGCACGTCGGGATTAGCGGTGATGCTACCGGCACCGAGTTAGATTAGTTTTGTTTTTCTTTTTTTTTTCTTTTTTTTTTTTTCTTTTTTTCGCTCG